TGATATGAAACGTTTTCGACGCTTCTCATCACATTTACTTTTTTGTCACGTCACATATATGTGTCATGTGCAGTAGAATATGACGACAAATAGGGTCTTATCAAATCATGTTTTGCATAAAGATTGTTCATGTTTTGATTAATAATTATGGTAAAGTGATTATGCATCTAGTTTTTGAGCAGAAATTGAGCTTACTTTGATCAGTTAACCTCATTCGGTGTGGTTATGAAATATATTTTTTGACAAACTAACAACTGCTAACTTAAAAGTAGCCCCTGGATATTTTTGATAGGGATTTACAAGAACGCACGTCCTGTTTGCTAGGTCAGTCTTTTATTTTGACTGCATTGCAATGGGTAGACAATGAGACATGCCCAAATAGGCCCTTTTAAATGTTTTTTTATTTGAAAGCATCGACTTCCACTCTGCGATGTCAGTATTTTTAGTTTTACAACTATTATACTGGACATTGAGTTCCCTCGCCTATTTTGGAAGCTTAATATTTTTGCAGTGGATCTGACAGCTTCGTCAAGTCGCCTGCTGTGTCATTAAAGGAAACGTTTAGATGGACTTTGATACTGTGCCTGAGGCTGTTTTGCTTCATCTCATGAAATTTGCCTATAGCATTTTATGCCTGGATATGGAAATTCGAATGAGAATAAAGAATAAGTCCAGAGACTCCAACAAATCGCTGTTACACTATTTCTAGAAGGGTCTTCAACGAAATATTATTTTGACATGTCATCAACGCCAGTGAGTGAATCGAAGATCTCCCTTATTATTTCCACAACCTTTAAAAATTCATTTATGCAAATAGTTAATAAATGATTTGAATCTCATTCTTTGAACTGAATATGAACACATCTGCCATGATTACATCCTGGCGAAAATTTAAGCAATCTTGATGCAAACCTGTGGCATAATACAGAGCAATTGGAGCCTACCACAGTTTCACGTGATACTGCTGTTGCAAGAGATTCTGGACTGAGGCGTGATAGAACGACGATGCCGTTAATGAGGCGGTAATAAATGTGCTTTCTACGTTGAAAACACCAGAATGTCCCTTTTGCTCAGAGTGCATTTTTTAAATTAGTCTACATTTTAATGGGTGCGTTCGTGGCAATCCTGAAAACCATTAGGATACATTTAAATGAAGGAGTCAATTGTGGATGATGAGCATGTTTGTGTGGAGTTGTTAATATATAGATGGTTCCAATGGCAAATATGGAATCATGGGCAGGGAACCTGT